TATGAATGAAATGGCAAATATATTCTGTTCTTTTTCCTTACAAAACAAGTGAAAAATAACCTTTCAGCTTGCCGAAACAGAACGCAAGCGATTTGTAAAGGCGGATATTGGCGTGCATGTAAATATGCGAGAGTCTTGCCCCTTCATAACCTCGGTTGAATGTATGCGTATTACAAGAATGCATACATCCACTTGTCTAGTCATCGTTAAAAGAGGCCGAAGAAAAGAAAAAGGAAATTTGTTAAAACACCATCTGACAATGAGTACCTAGTTTGAAACATACGTTACGATCTTGTGTGAATATAAAAAGAAGAAAGACGTATCTCGAGATATAAAAGTTTATCTTTCAGTGTACTTTGTCTTAATATCGTGCCAATTAAGCTAAATATTATGCCACTGCAAAATATCGAGTAATACAACGTAAATCAATATGTTCATCGCGTGAACGTGACTATAACTATTCAGGCCTCTTCGAATAGTTACGGATTCAAGTATTTAATTAGTATTTAATTAGGACAGCCGCAACAAAGGTATCGATCCCTCCTGCGACTTCGGGCGCACTAATTAGCTAATTGCTGACAAAGAAAATGTGATGATCTGGCAAGAATGTGCTGTTGAATGAAAAAGGAACTAAACTATGAGAACCACGAAAAAGAGTATTTTTCGTTCCGATAACATATCTAAGATAATCGTTCCTTTACATGGAAGCAAAATTCGTTTCTTAACGAATTTTAACGAATTAACTTAACGAGAACCAAGGTGTGTGATAATGAGAAATTTGGACAAAACGTGTGCAACATAATATTTTCATAGTAAACTTGGTTCCCACATAGAAAGGGTAATAGATACACATTGCGTGTCTATAAATATCGATAGAGAGAAATAAACATGTGTTCTTCTGTGAAGACGACTCTAGATCTGTTCTAGATCCGTTCTGCTTGAATGCAAGTGAAATTTTGAGCAAGAGAAACGATATTATTAACGTTCTAAGGAAATTGTGAGGAGACTGAGAAAAATTAAGAATAATTTTTTTAAATAAAATTGAAAATATAAGCTCTCTTACGTGATATAAAATTCGCAGTGTGTACGTCAGTCACGAGAGATTTGATGGATTCGAAATGGAAAGAAAGAATTTTCGCGCGAAAAATTCGAGTGGAACGCAGACGCGTTAAAGCTTGGATATTTTAAACTTGTTTTAGGTTTGCGAGGAGACACTGGCGGAGCACAAAGAGAGACTGGTAGAACTGCGCGGTCTGGTGGCACAGATTGCATCGGACGTGGGTTTGGACGCTGGTGGACCGCTGCACTGCGAAGTTGAAGCGCTAGGTCAACGACTCGAAGATGTTCGAGAAACCTTGTCGACCCTCGCGGACACGGTGGACGCCCGTGTCCTCAACCAGGAACTCGCCCGCGGTGATCTATGCCAGACGAAAAATTTCCTGGATTCGGTCCAACAGGTACATGCCTTCGTTCATGCTGCATCTGTTTCTGCCTAACTACGTGTCAGTCAAACATCTTTCATTTAACGCGAGGTGTCCCGATGACTTTTAGAGCGATAGTAGATTTAAGAAAATCTTTTCTCCATATCTCCAATATCGAAACAAGAGGAAAAAAATTTTCTTCATAACGAACGTAAAATATGTCCATTTTCAGTTTTATGTCAAATTTTAGAGTTATGAGCGTGTACGTGACGATAGTTGCACATCTGTTTTTTTTTTCCGAATGTGTGTGTATCCGACGCGCTGGCTTAATCCTGGCACGTACATGCGAGGAAACGGATTCAGGACCTTGAAGAACGAGACCTTCCTCGAATTTCTCACAGTTAAAACATTTTTCAAGGATCGATGTACACATTCCCCTGCGCTTGGAAGGTGATAGTTAGGCCCGCGGCGTTAGGTCGCTTTAGTCTGACGTACTAACGCGTCCATCAGTTCTCGGGCGGCGCACCATTGGTGCTTGGCACAACCTCGATCATCGCTTCGCACGCGCGTTTATATTTTAATCGCGGTAGTTCCGAAACAATTTGTTATGTCAAGGCCGAAGGGCTTAACCCGTGGTGGCAATTACATCAGTCACGAAATCCGCAACAGCTGAATGGCTGCAACACCCGCCCCGCACACAGCGTCGGCCGAAACTTTCCAACTTGAGAACGCGCGCGGCGCGGCGCCGCGCCGAGTTCCGTTTCCCGACGGAATTTACGGCGTGCATCGTCAACGTCGATCGGCAGATAAAGGCGATTCGATACGATCCTACTTGCCGGGAGGATATAACTACGTCGCTACGTTGTTGAATCACGTTTCCTTCGAAGCTTAGTAAGAACGATACTTAACCGGCGCCATCGATCCGATTGCCGACAATTCACGGAACCATTCACGCGCGCCAAATTAACTCGTAAATTTTTTTTATCTCCCTACTCATTTCTTTACGAACTCGTCGAATAATCAGGAGTGCTTGTCCGTCAATTTTTCAGAGTTTGACGGCGGTGGGTCAAGGCGAATCCAATGAACAGCTGACGGTGCTACGGAACCATCTACTCGCGTTAACTAGAACCGAGCCGCAGCTTCAATCCATCAAGGATCGCGCGTTAGACGTTTCCGTGCAGGAACCGTCAGTGGTCGAGGTGGTCCAGTTATGGCAGCGCGTCTTCCAAGAGACCTTCCAGCAATATCACCGTTTGTCAACGCGATTGATCCGCTCGCAGGACGTGATCGCCGCGCTAAGACTCTGGGAAGAATATCTGACGCACGTGCAGGATTTCCTCTCGTGCGGTATGCCGGGTGATTACAGCGGTTTGTCAGAGCATCGGAATCTCTGCGAGGTTCATCGGAAGCTTTTGCCCGAGCAGCAGAATCTTATATTGACGGTGCGACTAGGGGAGGATCGTGATCTATCAGTTGCCGAACAGTTTAACGCCTTGACAAATCTCCACAATGAGACGTTGGCGAGAATATTGGAGCGGCATACGGCAGTGCGCGACAGGATATCGGCTTGGGATAGGTACAGGTTGGATCAAGGAAAGCTGTTGACGTGGTTGAAGGAGGTTGAGAGAGAACGGCAGCGCATGCACTTGCAGTTCATCCACCTGAGGCGGCTTGATAAGATTCTGCAAAGAATTCAGGCGCTGTTGGACAAGATGCCAGATGGCGAGGCTCAAATAGAGTCCCTTCAGGAACAGCAGGAATATCTTCTAGCTAATTGCGACGAGGCGCTGGCCGTCTCAATACGCATGGAACACGCCGCGAACGCACAGCGAATCGCGAATCTGCGAGCTGGTCTCGAAACCTGGAGGGATTTTGTTCAACGAGTGCAGAAATTACACAAGGAGCATGTCGAGCAGTCCGAGATAGTCGCCGCAATTTTCAAACAAGTTAGCCAAACATTGAGTGCGGCTTTCCACGCAGGACCAATAAGTCTATCCAAGACGAAGGAGCAGCTTGACTCGCTTGGACACTTGAAAACTCGTCTAGCTGACGCGCAACGTAATCTAGAGTCTCTTGGCGTCGTCACGGAACAATTGAGAGAGTGTCTCAGTCCGAGCGACACGAAGACATTAAATCAACACGATGCACTTCTGTTGCAACAACACGGCGACCTTGAGTATCAATTGGCCTTATTAGCATGCAGGCTCGGAGAACGTTGTGCTCTTCACGGTCGATGGGAAAATAGGTTAAATAAATTATTAACTTGGATGGAGGAAACGGCGATCAGAATGCAGGACGACGACGACGACACGATGGCGCTGGATGAACCTGAAGAGGCGGTGAAGCGACTTGAATGCGAGCTGCAGACGGAAATGAGCTTGAAACAGCGCGAACTTGAGTGGCTGCGGAATATCGGGCAGGAACTGATAGAGGCCGCCGAGGAGACGGAGAAAGCAAAGCTACAGCGATCCTTGGACGAAGTCAACGAGAAGTGGAGTCGTTTAATGGCCGGCGGTAAAGCAAGAGCTAATAAGCTGGCCAATCTAATTCAAACTATGAATTCGCTGCTGAAGAGGATAGCCGATTTACGAACTTGGCTGACCAGTATTGAAGGTCAACTGTCGGAAGTTATCATTATTGAGGAACTCACGCAGAGGAGTATCGACAAAAAGTTGGAGGATCATAATCATCTCAGGACAACTATTGAGACAAAAAGCGGCGACATCAGCGAAGTACTAAACTTGTGTAAAATCCTGCTAAACGATTGCGACACGTGGAAAGCCTCCTTTAACATGGACAGTATAAAGAACGGTATGGAAAATGTGGAGAAACGCTGGAAAGCCGTGTGCAGTAAATGTACCGAACGTAAGCGAAAAATCATGATGATTTGGAAGTTGCTGCAGGAGTTGGATAAAACTAGATGCGAGCATGAATCGTGGTTAGCAAAAACGGAAAAGTCCCTGTTGGAACTGGAGAACGATCTTGCAGAGATCTCGAAAGAAGAGTCGGAGAAGGTGACCGAAAAAGCTAACTCGATCGCTAAGGATATCGAGGCTCATCAAAAAGCCTTGAAGATCCTCGAGCAGATATTTGGGCGCCTGGCCAAGTCGGGATTAGATCCCGACAACTTTAGGTCGCTCACGGCCGAGACGCGAAAGATCATCGACAGGTGGTTGGCTCTCGAGACAAGAATTAACGCTATCATCTCGAGTATTCAACGGGAACAAAAGACTTATCGCGAGTTCGTATCCACGCATGGTGTTGCGGTAATGGGCCTGACGCAGGTAGATGTTCGCCTAACACAAATGCAGCACCTTGCCACGCCCGAACAGAGGTCGTCTCTGCGACGTAGGCATCAACAGTTGTGCGAGGTCGAGGAAGAACTCGATACTCAAAACGTTACGTTGCGCAAAGCAGATGAGCTAGCATTAAGGGTCATGCAGGAGAGCAATCCCGACGACGTGGCTGCGATTCAAGAGCTGGTGGACGAATACCAGCTCCTGTGGCGGGACATCAAGGCGCGAGTGGCCGCGCTGAAAGCGGAACTGGAGACGCAAGAAAGATCGGAGGTCGATGAGGCGGTACAGGTGGAGACTTTGAAATTCGAGCAGGACACAGCGGTTCAAGTAGACACCCTGCCGAGGCTTGTCAAGATGACCTCGTGTGACGCATATTTAATGGAACTGGAAGCTGCTTTGAGCGAATGCAATAACGCCTTAAATGCTCTGGAAGCAGCGGTAACACCTGACCCCACATCTGGTCCTGGACTCAACGCGGCAGCTAAAACTATTGTAAGATTCTTTCCAATTAAAAAAATGACAGATTACGATGTCGAATAAAATCAAAAACCATCGTAGAAATATCACGCTTGTGAAATAGTAAATAGCGAAAATCAAATCATGAAACAATGTTTAACATGTTCTTCGCTACTTTGTCAAAGTCTCACGAACATATTGCAGGCTAAACTGATCGGAAGTTGCCAGTCCTCGATAGAATTGGTACGCCACCTTCATAATCTGCTCATGGAAGACGGCAAATTGAGTTTAGGAGCTGCTAAAAGTAGTGAGGTAACAACACTAATAGCTCGATACGACACACTCATTGCACTAGCAAGAGCACGTGAACAGCAAATCAGAGAGCTCAGGTAAAGTTTCTTTCACGCTCACTTCAATGTTTAAATGTTTAGTGCGTTTCCGAGTTTTTTTTAATAAGCGGAGATTGCAATAACAATGAATTTTTTTTAATTAACCCTCACCATGTAAACGCAAAACTTACGCTTTTGTTCCCAAATATAATATATGTGATTTTGACTATACCACGCGCAAAACTTTTTATATCTTATTAAATGTGGTGCCTTTTGAGAATTTGAAATAATACCTGAAAACGCTAATTTATATGCATACATTAACTTTTGCATTTGTATCATATTTAATTTTTACGATATCTTTTGTGTAAATGATTATCCATTGAGATGCTATGCTTTTTCATTTTCACACTACCAATATTGAATAAATAATTAACGAAATATAATAATAATTGCATCATTCAACAATATCATAAACGCTTCTCTCTCTCTCTTACTGTTGTTTAAGCCTTTCATCTTTGCGCTAATATAAACGTATCAACCTTGCCCTGCAATAATCTGTAATGCGAACAACAATGCTTGCAAAGCAAATTAAAACAACGCTTATCCTTTGCCCTATACAGATCGCCCGTCACCGATGCTTACGCTTTTCCATGTGACCAGTGAGTAATTAACTATATATATAAGAATTAAATTCAATGTTAAAATAAGTTTGCTAGTAACAAATATTCCTAAACAACTAACATTTAACTAACTTTAACTAACTTTAAAAGTTTGTTATTGTGTATAATACAAAGTTTTGTGTAGCTGATAACTCTTTTCAACTTTCATAAATATATTATTCGCAATGTTTCTCACCGACTTAATTTTAGATATTTGTGTAACTCTAGCAAAGATATTCATAAAATATATGTAACATAATCTTCTAAAATATTTACCAATTAAATTGCAATTATAATTATGAATATACTGAAAGCTCTAATGGCAATTATAATTATTGTAGCGATAGTGGCAGATTAACCTGTCCATTATGCTCTCGCCGTAATTGGGCTCAACTGGACAATGATCTTTGGCGTTTGGACAAATGGCTGGAGTACGCCGAGGGTACGCAGAGTGAGCAACACTCGCCGTCCAGTGATATAGAGCAATTGGAGGACGTGATTCAGGATCATCGCGAGTTTCTACTGGACCTCGACAGTCACAGGAGCATTGTGACGAGTTTGAATATAGTCGGCGCTCACTTAGCCGATCATACCGAGGATACGGAACGCTCGAAGGAGCTTCGTGACCGATTGGCCGTAGCAAACGGCAGATGGGAAAAAATCTCTACAGCTGCCGCGGAGTGGCAGGGACAGCTGCAACACGCTCTCATAACGAATCGTCAGTTCTATCGTATTATAGAGGAATTGCTAAGTTGGCTCGAACGCACCGAGGTCAGCATTCGGGCGAGTGAACCGATCGATTTGACTGAATCCACCAATGTTATAGAGGCAAAATATAATCAATTTAGGTAAAAATCTTGATCGACTTTCTCCTCGCAATTAACGAATAAAAAATATACACAAATATCTCATCATAATCCAAGTCTTGGACAATTATGTGCCGAAATAATATAATACGTCGAGATTACTAATTTATTTGCATTTTAGGGAATTGCGAAGCGATCTGGAACGTTGCGAGCCACGAGTGATATCGTTACAAGAGGCGACTAATTATCTTTTAGACGAACAGACAGAGACCAGAACGCGTCTGCAAGAACTGCGATTAAGGTTGCAGTCGTTAAGAAGACTAACGGGAATCTACACTCTGAAATTGGGGGCTGCCCTCGGGCTGGACCCGCGGGATGTCGGTTTTGCCACTACGTCTACGTCTCTCGCATCTCTCTCACACGACGTAAGCACTGAATTTTATGTCTCCACTCACAATAAATCTACATTTAATCGAAGCAGTGGTCACCGTGGTATAAATTTACTCATTTATCTGTATTATTGTCGTGAGCTCGTATAAGCTTCAAGTAGATTTTGTAAAATAGATAGTGTGACACAGACGTAGTCGATGTGCGACATTGAGATATTATGATAATAATTTAAGAGAACGAAAGTATGTTCAATTAAACATCAATCATTTCTATTTCGGTACTTGATGGAGTATCGTAAAACTCCGATGTAATATACTTAATATAATTTATTTTATTTTAATCTTTTTCAAAAATTATCCGCACTTTTCGTTCTCCAATTTATTTACACAAAAATAGGGGTTCAATATGTACCTCATTTTTCAACATAGTCTCCTCCCTTGGCAATGTACTTGGCCCAGCGGTGCACAAGCTTGCGTATATACCTTCCGAGAAGAAGGTTTTCGGTTGGTCGCAAAGCCACTTTTGCACCGCTTCCTGCACGTCTACGTCTGTAGAAATTTGACGACCTCGCAAAGCGTCTTTGAGCGGCCGAAACATATGGAAGTCGAAGGGGGCAAGATCTAGGCTTGCAGGAAGCGGTGCAAAAGTGGCTTTCTTCTTGGAAGAAATGCACCTTCTTCTTTGGAAGCAATACGCTTGTGGACCGCTGGACCAAGTGCATTGCCAAGGGAGGAGACTGTGTTGAGAAATGACGTACATATTGAACCCCCATTTTTGTGTAAATAAATTGTAGAACGAAAAGTGCGGACAATTTTTGACTCACCCTCGTATGTTTATGAAAAGTTTATTAGTCTCGAAGCATTTCAAAATATCAATAAATATTACGTCCCAAATGTTTTAAAATAGCATATTTAAGTACTGACGTTTATTGGTTAAACGTACATATACTACGCGATACGTACGAGTATTTCAATCGATGAGAACAACAAAAGTCAAAGAATTTAAACATTCTATATCGCTATTGATGAGAGACCTTTCATATAACTTTACGATGCAATCTTAAACTATAAATCGAATCACTTACTACTATTATTGCCGTGTCTCCCGTTTAGCTGATATTATCAGAGTTTTGGATCGGCATTTATCCTCGGGCTAATGTTATTCCGCCCCAACTTCATGACAGGCGCCGAGGAAAAAGAAAGACCTGAATACTCGCAATAAAATGCCGATGAATCGTTACTAATTATGATGACGTGCATTAAGTAATATGCCAGAATGGTAGCCGGAGCACTTTGTTCGATGTTTGAGCACTTATTTTCACGCTCGGTTCACTTTTGCATAAATCGCGGGTAAAAAAATACGGAGGAATCTCGCAGCTCGAGACCGCAACACGTCGGATTTAGTCACGGCGCGGCGCGGACTGATATCTCTGCAACAGATGGCAGCGCATGCGCATCCGCGAGACAATATAAATGAACAGCAGAAAATATAAGCCCATGTTGAAAATACTAGTACTATTTTCTTCAAAAAATGTAGTGGAAATTTGCTTTAAATGCTACCTCGGTAGAATCTGGGATACTTGTATCTTATAAGTTCCATGATAGTCTTTTTGAATATATCACCCGATAAGAAGACGATCATTGCTATTATTTTGATATCGATGTATAGCGTTTATATCGTAGATTATTGCACAAATTAGTAAATCACAACTTTCCAAAGCGAGAGGCGTCATCCGATGATGAAAAATTATCGCGATGGTACTTCCACGGGTTCCATAAGTTATTCGTAGCAATCACTTGCACAGTATCTTATTGTTTGTGTTTTCTGTTTTGTTGAATTGTAGCTACTCGACGAAGCTGCCTCTGGGACCGCTCAGCCTCACGCCACCGGCACAGAGTATGTTGTTTCCCTTTTTTCCTTTTTTCGTGACAATATCTGTCTACTAGCCCGTATGATAGAAGTTAATTTACACACCAACTTGATAATTATATCGTACGATGAATAAAGTAGATAAATCAAGCTCTGTCGTTTGTGAGAGAAAACGTTGGCTCTCGTCGTCCTCAACGAGACCATCTGATTGAATATTCCATCATTGGAAATCTGTTGCAGTGGTGACGAAAGAGATGAAACGGTATTTGCACGTGGTTCGCGCTTCTTAGGACGGGTTCTACGAGTTTCTCTCCCAATCCAAGCGCTGATGCTGTTACTGCTTGGCGTCGCGTCGCTGGTGCCGTCTGCAGAAGAAGACTACAGTTGTATGCTCTCTAACAATCTCGCAAGGAGCTTCACGCCGGTAGCCTTCTACCCGAACGGACCGCCACCGGTGTAACAGTGAACGGCGACGTCCTTGTTTCGCCGCGTGGTCACTTTGTCAAGACTCGAGGTTGATACTTCACACTTGTAAGACATTGGCGAGGCAAGCCGATACAAAGTCGATGAAACTTGTTTACATTTACCCCCGCGCAATTAGCATTCAAGGATACAAAATTCAAACTGCCCTGAGTTTGCTTCGCCAATGTTTCCGCCGACTGTAGCCGCAGTGCGCGTAACGCAGAAATCTTTATATAATATACATGTATTGTAATTTTACATACGACGAATTTGTACGTAAGAATAATGTAACGGACCAAACGGTGACTGAGAATATGTAGTCGACGAGAACACACATTCTTTAATTTATTATATATATATATACATATATATATAATATTGTATATTTCACTATTCAGCGCGTGCATTAATCATGCTTCCTCCCGTGCGAAGCGTGCACAGTCAAGTGCATAACAGGACGATATCGTGACAACGTACTTGTAAAGATATTGATTCCGATTCGAGACGTTCGAATGTGTATACCGACCCTGTATATTAACCCTTTAGTTGCGAGAGATGTGTACATACATCTTGAGGAAGTTGCCTTTTATTTGCGGAAAAAGCATATATATAATATATATTTGTAGTTAAAGTTTGGAGCATTCTTGGAGCGAAAATTTAACATTTGCCCAAATTTAACAGGCTTATGAAAATTAATATATATAGTTGAAACAATAAAATTATAACAGACAAATTTAAAATAAATAAACGATGAAAAAAAATATAAAATATCGCGGAACAAAAATTCATCCGCGCGTTCTTGCTTCTATGCACATTTTCTCGCTACTTTTGTCGTCAATTCTAGCGAGATTATGGCCACAATAAAACATTGCGTCAGTCAAATTGTCAACGACCTTAGAAATTTCGGTAAGGAGAAAATAATATCCCTTGCCATATGCGACTTGAAATATTAGAATCTGAGGAATGTCCTAATCATCGTACGGAACTTAAATAATTGTACAAACGGAAGACCTCAAGTCATTCAATTATTTCTCGAAAAATGATTATCCCGCGAGGAAGTATATTACGCAATCAAAAGAGATGTTCCTTCTGTTACAATCAGCTAATCGAGTTCTGGGACAGTGAAGATAAGTCTTTAAGTATCTCGGAAGATTCTAATAAGATCGAAGATGAAAACAATGTATATAATTTCTGAATATATATGTATATTTTTATTTTCTATCTAATTTATCGAATACATTATCTAATTCAATAATATGCAGATTATAATTTAACATTACCAATCTATTTCATTTCCATCCGAAGATATTTTTATATGTACTTTATGTAATATAAGAAATAGATATCATATTCTATTTTCTCTCTCTCTCTTTCTCTTAAAATACAATGCAACTTTTAAGTCAAGGAGTAAATTGATAATTACACAGGTCTACAAAAAATGGGATCATGATTGTTGTTGGGCAGCTGGGGGTCGTTTCCCAAGTAATTTTCTGTGTAGAATTCGAATCCGAGGTCAGAATTGGCCCATCACGTCAGGATTTTGAGATATTTGAGGTTATAGACTCGAAAAATGGCTTTTTGGGCTACTTTTGAGGTTATGTACAGGACGCACAAAATTTTTTAGCTCTTTTCTTTTAATTGCATTATTTAGTACTACTCTTTCCCTTCAAAATGAGCTGTCGAATGGTCATCTACGATTTTTCCTTGCAAAGTTACGGCCATTTTAAGATAACATGATGAATTCCAAACCCTGCGCCGTTATAGCCCAACAACCTCATGAGCATTCACATTAAACCTGTAAACTTTGAACTATAAACCCGAAAGCATTACTAAATCCACAACTATGAATTTTATTACTTGAATTTTCAAAATCTGATTTCAGATTCTCCATCAAACCCATATACGAGTATACAGTTTTCAGCCCAGGTTTTCGGGTTTATAGTTCAAAGTTTACAGGTTTAATCTGAATACTCATGAGGTTGTTGGGCTATAACGGCGCAGGGTTTGGAATTCATCATGTTATCTTAAAATGGCCGTAACTTTGCAAGGAAAAATCGTAGATGACCATTCGACAGCTCATTTTGAAAGGAAAGAGTAGTACTAAATGATGCAATTAAAAGAAAAGAGCTAAAAAATTTGGTGCGTCCTGTACTTAACCTCAAAAGTAGCCCAAAAAGCCATTTTTCGAGTATGTAACCTCAAATATCTCAAAATCCTGACGTGATGGGCCAATTCTGACCTCGGATTCGGATTCTACGTAGAAAATTACTTGGGAAACGACCCCCAGCTGCCCAACAAAACCTTGTAGACCGGTGTTATCGAAAGACTTTATCGGATATATCAGATAATCTAGTATTCATAAACCAAAAGTACGACTGAATTTTGTGTTTATGACTTTTTATAATTCTATTGCACGGAGATAAAAAGAAGGAACTATCAATGCCTGTAAACACGAAGATATCGACGCTACCCTTAGCGGTTCAGAGTGGTCTCGCAAAAAAAGGATGGAAGTATTTCTCGCCTACACGCCTAGCAGAGACCCGTCGGGTGTCGAGAGCGCATTTGCATCGGATCGGAGTGTCCCTGCCTAGTAACTGTGCGGCTGCAACGCGCCCGGACGGTCCTTGCACTCCACGAGCATGAGTGCTTGCCAAGAATGTCGCGATACGGCGTTAATGTATTAAGAAATGGGAATATGTTACATCAAATTTAACACAAATAATTTTTGTTACGTATAGAATTAGATATTTTATCATTTTTATTACGTTAAAATTTAAATATCTGTCTTAAAAAAAGTAAAATGTAAATTTTTTAGAAAGCGAAAATAACTTTTATTTTATAAAAATTTGTTTTGGTCATGTAGAATTAAACTTTGTTATATTTAATTAATTTTAAATAAAAACGATAGGTACGTGCAAGCATCTATTGCCTACGTTTATGCAACGGTGACAAATTAAAGAACATTGGCTGTGCACAAATGCGTTAGAATCGCAACTTTTTCAACTCATTAATTGTATTTGAAGAACATCCGCAACAACGTTTATAACATTTATAAAATTAAACAATTAAATTAAACTCGTTATGTATTATATGTATATAAAATATGCCTGCCTTTATTTCAATTCAATTTGCACTACAAATATTCCATTGCAGTGTAAAATGGCATGATATTGTTCTTCTGTTTTTCGTAATTTGAAATTCTTGAGGAGAAATTTCTCGTAAAGGATTCTACGTATTTATGCGACGCAATAACGCAGTCATAACTTCTTTAAATAGATCGTGGTTGCACCGGTTTATCCTTCGCATTAATGGCGCTCGACAACTTGTTTGAAATTTTTTTAGCGACTTTAACTGACGAGACGCGGACCATTTAATTATCGTGCAAGATGATCGTCGTTGTACACGGTACGTTCGTGCCAAATAACAAGTAGTTCGAGCTGTATCACATATCTGATTGCAATTCCGACATAGCAATTAAAAAAAAACTTTTTAATCAAAATATCAAGAGAGCCATAAGTCAGAAAAGTACATTGAATCGTGATTCGCGTAAATTATTATGAGAGGATCGATATTTTGAAAGAGTCACAACATGTACTCGCATTTTAATAACGTTTAGTGAAACGCGATCGAGCCACGAGAACATTCCAATCCCACGCAAATCGCCATTTCTCTCTAACAAGGAGACACTACACGCAGCTCTTCATCGATTTCGATAAAACTTGTTAGATAAATGATAAATGATAGAAGATCTACATATCTAATTAATGAATCGAATTAATGTAGAACCGTTTTGCTGAATAAACCTTCAAACCTGAGTTATAAATAGTTCAAGGTGGAGCCTTTTTGTAATACACTTTAGAGGTTGATAATGTTAAGATTTTCTAAAGATAAAGTAAAGTATAGATAATATACAAATATTTAAATAATCAATAAAAATCGACATTTAAATCTTTCTAAAAGATTCTTTAATTTGATGTTTAATCTTTTAAATATATTTGCTTTCCAATATTTTTTATGCCGAACCGTCACAATTCTTAACCATAAGTACAGAGACTCGCGATAAAGACAATTAATTAAATTTTTTATATAAAATTGTGTTCTAAATTTTATCACAAATTTAAAGAAGATTTTCTTCCACATGGAATATGTTCTAATCTTAAATATTCAGACTTACTCGTCAAATGATCTTGTCAGTGTGTAATTGGCGAAAAAAAAGCGAAAATTATTTTCCCACAATACACGTGTATTCAAGCTAAAAGTACTTAGGCGTCGGTATTAGTTCAATCCACGGCACACTTGAACAATTTACAATCTCCGTATCCCTCGAGCGATGCGAAGTGACCGATTAGATTTGCGCAAGCATCGAATAAATTCGACGTGTGATTTACAGGATTAGGTATTCCAGGGAACACAAGGCCTATGACTTAACCCATTACCGTGGTATGGCACGTGGGCGTCGAATGGAGATTCGAGGCGCGAGACGTTTACAATTACGCTGCATTGTGGGGAGATACAAAAGAATGTTAATGCGAGTGTGGTGAGATACCGCTATATACGCGCTATTTATAAATGATCGGCCTCGTGACAGGTATGTATAATTTTTTAACACTCCTGTTATTTTCATTCGTTCGTTCTTGAGGTTACCCGTTTATTTCACAAGATGAATATTTTCATTCTGTCCTCTTGTTATGTTAATAAGATACCTAATAGATCAGAATTAAAACGGGAAGTAGACATCTGTCGAAAAAAAATATCACGGTACATAAAGTGTATACTTTAAAAGCCTAAAGACATCACGAAAAGACGGAGACTACTTTTCTGAAACGATCTTGCGGACCGAGCGTCACCGTTAACGGATTAACAGGCAGTATACAAGAGGATCCAAGATTATTATCCCCGTTCACCATCCCCGCGGAAGAAAGGGGATACGTGTTTCCGTTTACTCTCCGGCAGGAAATCTAATGCGGCTGCAATGCAATGCACGCGTGCACGCGATATTACCCGCCAGACTCATCTCTGCTGCCACGCGATCATACTTGGTCCTCTTTTCGCATTATCCGGAGGGCCTCCCATGTCGCAAATGCAGCTATAATGCATGAAACATATCACGCTGCTGCACGAGCACGTGCTTACTTGCGCGCGAGCCGCTCGAAAGAGACCGTGATTTTTATATCTTTGAGTACACAGGCGATGTATCTATGAGCAAACGGTTTCATATCGCACGAGCGTAAAAAATTAATAACAGATTATCATAAAAATCGTGTAAGCAAATAAAAATAAAAGTCAATAATGTATCAATATAGATATATCTATATACATATTTTAAAAATACAAGGGAATATTGTGGAGAAATGATTAATTATTTCTATTAAAAAATTCGTTTTTGTTTTAGATCCACGTGCATATACATGCGTGTACATAATATTTGAGAAAAGCAATGTTTCGCGAAATTCTTCTTTTCGACACTTACAGCCTTTTTTACGTCAAGTCCTTACTAAATACGTTTTCGTCGCTTTCTCCCGATTCTTTTAAGCGTGTCAAATCTTGGAATGAACGGGTGAAACGGCCTCTTCGCCCACGCATTACGTTCTAAACCGATATGCCACTCTAGACGCGTGATTCGTGACATTATCCTTTTCTCTGCAATGCATCGTGCAAGGAGAATTCGCGATTTAGTCTAAAGCCAGCGGTCATTTTGATCGCGATCGATCTTTTTGCGGACACACAATTCGAGAGGAAAAGACATTTTTGCGCGGCGAAAAGAAGCGGAATGTGAAAGAAGTACCGGCATATTGGAACGAGCAACAGGTGTGACTCGTGAGTTTACTGTATTTATATACAGGGTGAGAGAGAGAGAGAGAGAGAGGGAGAGAGAGTCTTTCCATATCCGACAAAATTTTTGAGAAGGTAGAACGGATCGAGATGAACGGAAAAGTCCTGTACCATTTTGCAATGTT